ATCGCTCATGAGGATTGCTGCTGCGCCAGCCATCTTGCCCAGCAGGCCCAAATTCGAGATCCCGACATTACCACGCTTCTTGCTGGATAGGCGAGTTAGAGGAAAGGCGGAGAGAATCTCATACCCTCTGATAGGTAATGAGATAGTAAATAGTGACTCTGGGCTCTCGATCTTGGTAGGATGAGAAACCTTACCCGTGGTATGAGCACGAACCACGTATTCAAGACCGTGAACCACACCAGGGAAAGCCGAAAGGGATACCAATTCAGTCAATGGCCGAGATGAGATATTGAAAATGGCCATAATAGGGCTTCCGGTATGTGAGGCTCCTGAATTGTGATTAGTATACACTACTAGCTTTCCTCTAAATAATTCTCACCATGATAGCTTCCAATCTTGAGGAGTAAATCATCGTCATATCCAATATAAGGGTCAACGGCCTTTCCTAAAGAGCTTGGCCGGAATACCACAGTCTTACCCCGTGGAGTGCGACCACTCATTTGCTCAATGAGATCCATGTCATGTTCACCGGGAACATCAGTGATATAAATTGGACCTCCGCTCACACATCTGGCAGCAGCATGAAATCCAGAATACTCATGGACAGTCTGGAACATGTCCCAGTCCGGAAGAACATTTAGATGCTGCATGAAAATGGCATTGTGCGCATTTGTCCACACGTGCCAGGGATGTGAAGCAGGAATCTCAGGGAAGAAGTCGTCAGAGTTTCGCACAAGAATGGTAGGTCGATTGGTTGGCATTTGCGAGTGGAAGAGTGCCTCCGGGAACTGCGACATACATGATATCGCCTTCCCACTGAAGTGACGAAGTATCGAGAGGATCCACGCATCGAGGTACGTATTGATCAGATCTCGGCGAGGGGAGGCTTCAATCCACATATCGATCATGAACTGCGCGTCCGTCTTAACAGCATCTATACCGGCATCTGAAAGGAATCGATAAAAGTCATCATAGAATCGATTCACATCTTCTTGTGCGATCACCATCATCTTCCCACCCAACGGAAGGTTTCGGCGGTCAGCATCTTCCCGTGTCACTTCGATAGTCTTGTATGTCTTAGCAAGCTTGCCGTCAGGAGCAATGCCACCCCAGTAGCCTAGGAGGGCATGCCAAACAGCAATGTGTTGGATGTGTGGATGATTCTGTCGAATATGAGATATGGTAGATTTTAAGCCTTTGGGAAATGCCTTGGGCTCCGCTTCAAAATCGTTCCAGCCATATTGAAACTGGCTGGGGCCACGGTAATCGATCGACTGCCAGTTGTCATCAATGATGAGACTAGATACTTGGATGTTATGCTCAGAAAGCTTATTGAGAGCGTCGAATATTTTCTGGTCTGTTAGTCGTTGGCCCAGAGCGTTCCACGTACCTGTAAATCGTTAGTTCGTCGTCCCTCGAAGTTGATTATACTCAAGAACACACAGAAACCCAGTCCATCAAACCAGTATTCTAGCCACTCCGGTTTGAAGTCATTCTTCAATGTGGATAACTCCTGTGACCACTCATCACTGGCCTTCTTCGTACCCGCAACCATATCTCGAGCATGATACATCACAGATGCAATGGTGCAGTCGAAATAGTCTCCAACCGAAACAAGAATAACGGCCTTTTCTTCGGAGAGACCGTCATTTCGGATCTTAAATGTCAGATATCGCAGGAAACTGTACCAGACGCACTTACATGAACCTGGAGCTTTCCATTAGGCTCACTGCGAAATACTGGCAAGACATGATTGACACCGCCGACGGCAAGGAACACTAGGTTTTGACCTTGCGGACTTAAGAAGCAACATAGAATGGCATCTTTATCGAGGTTAAACTGAGAGTGCCCATGGCGAGGTGCAAGCCACGGTGCCCATAGTCTTACAAGAGAAAACCATCTATGTCCAGTCAGATAACATGATCGCTGATGGATTTCCGGTACGTCGTGGTGTCACTCAGCTGAACTTACCGAACAAAAGCGCCCCAGGGAGTACCGATAGTGATGTCTCTGTACGAAGATTCATCACCATTTGCAGCTGGAATGACTGCTTCGAGTGACCAGAGTGAAGTTCTAGGTGATTGACTCAAACGTGGCTTGACACTCCAGTCTTGAGAGTTAAGATCGGGGATTGAATCAGAGAGGTCACTAGAAGAAACCCTGTTAGAAGCATTGACGATCAAACCATCATTGACACCCTGTTCATCGCGAATCCATCTCCAGTCTGCATCAGGACTATGCCGAAACTTGAGAGTGAACTGCACAGATGCTGTAAATGAGAAGGAAGACGTGAAATAGAATCGTGACATGGAATCATCCAGTACTTGGAGAGTCTGAGGAACCCCAGTCTCTGTGAGTGAGGCTACCTCCAGGTCCTTCCAATCTGAGCCGTCTACTGAGTGCCATACTGAGACTTCCCATGGCTCGTTGGTACGGTCCTTGGGTATCTCAAGGACGGCCGTTAAAGTGGCCGATGTACCCTGGATAGGTGTCACTTTCCCGAGAGGCGGGAAGCTTTGCAAAACAACCTTCATGTATTCAGAAACAGGCCGTGGCGAAGGTTTCTGCTTGGCGATGTAAATTGCCTGGAAGACATCGCCAAAGTTGTAATTGTCAGAAGGCATCGCTGTGAAATGAGAACAAGAGGAGCAGACTTGATTGAAACAGGTTTATTTAGCGAATTGACTGAGAAATTCAGACTTCTCATGTATGAAGTTTAGTGAGTATTTTAAGCGTGAAAATCAAGGTAACCGCATGAAATCGCATCAACAAGTTTGATGCTGTGTGACGATGTTCGTGTTTATTACAAGGCATTGTCATACATAACTAGAAGCCCACGAAAACGGACAGGCGTTGGATTATAGTGGAGTTTCGGTGGAGGTTGGAAGTGGTTAGTAATGAGCGCTTTTCATTGGCTTCGGTCTTGCTTTCGAGTCGTTCTGATTCGGGGACGGCCGGAATGACTAAGCCTTCCGCCTCATTGCTCAGGCTGCAAATTATCTCAGTAAAGCTTCTAGCCGAGCCAGATCGAAAGATTTCATCAAACCACTCAATTCAGCGTCGACCCTCCAAACCTGCGTCATGGCGTCCCGGAGACTGGCTTTGAACCTCTCGCGAGGTCTGCGAAACCGTGCTGGTCTTTCGGCCGCCGCCCCTTTCACACGAGGCTTTGCCACTCCATCTCCCGTCGGCAAGACTCAGACTTCGACTCTTAAGAATGGATTGACTGTGAGCATCATCATCCGAGGTCAATTGGCCTCGACAACCACTTAGGAATGCCCTCCTGACACGCCCTCCTGATAGGTCGCCACCGAGCACTCGCCCTTTGCGCAAACGTCGACCGTCGGTGTCTGGATCGATGCCGGCTCCCGGGCTGAGACTGACGAGACCAACGGTACCGCCCACTTCCTTGAGCATCTTGCTTTCAAGGTTCGACAACCCATCAATTGGCCGAGACCAATCGTTAACAATGCAATCAGGGTACCGCCAAGCGAACTCAGCAGCAATTGGAGTTGGAGATTGAGAACATGGGTGGTCACCTGAACGCCTACACTTCGGTCAGTCGGATGAAGGGATACGGAATTGACTGATGCTAACGATCATTCAGCGCGAGAACACCGTTTACTTCGCCAAGGCTTTCAACTCTGATGTTCCCCAGTGTGTCGACATCCTCTCCGATATTCTCCAGAACTCCAAGCTCGAGGAGTCCGCTATCGAGCGTGAGCGCGACGTTATTCTCCGAGAGTCCGAGGAGGTCGAGAAGCAGGTCGAGGAGGTTGTTTTCGATCACCTCCATGCTACCGCTTTCCAGCACCAGCCCCTTGGCCGCACCATCCTTGGCCCTCGACAGAACATCCGCGACATCACCCGAAAAGAGCTCACCGACTACATCAAGAACAACTACACTGCTGACCGTATGGTTCTCGTTGGTGCCGGTGGCATCCCTCACGAGCAGCTCGTCGAGCTCGCTGAGAAGCACTTCTCCGGTCTTCCCTCAAGTGCTCCCCAAACCAGCGCCTACCTTGCTTCCAAGCAGAAGGCTGACTTCATGGGTTCTGACGTCCGTGTCCGAGATGATGGCATGCCTACTGCTAACATCGCTCTCGCTGTTGAGGGTGTCAGCTGGAACTCCGAGGACTACTTCACTGCTCTTGTTGCTCAGGCTATTGTTGGCAACTACGACAAGGCTGTTGGCCAGGCTCCCCACCAAGGCAGCAAGCTCAGCGGCTGGGTCCACAAGCACGATCTTGCTAACAGCTTCATGAGCTTCTCCACTAGCTACAACGATACTGGGTAGGTCTTGATGTCACACCATGAATTTTGAAGTAACTAACTTGCCACAGTCTTTGGGGTATCTACCTTGTTTCTGACAAGCCTGACCGAGTTGACGACCTCGTCCACTTCGCTATCCGTGAGTGGATGCGCCTCTGCACCAACGTCAGCGCCGCCGAGACCGAGCGTGCCAAGGCTCAGCTCAAGGCCTCCATCCTCCTGTCCCTCGACGGCACCACAGCCGTTGCTGAGGACATTGGCCGACAGCTTGTCACCACTGGCCGCCGCATGGCCCCTAACGAGATTGAGCGAAAGATTGATGCTATCACCGAGAAGGATATCATGGACTTTGCCAACCGAAAACTTTGGGACCGGGATATTGCTGTTAGCGCTGTGGGAACTATTGAGGGTCTCTTCGACTACCAGAGACTTCGCAACACCATGAAGCCTAAGTTTTAAGGAAGAGAAGGCTGATGGGATTGTGAAAATCGAAATAAGGGTATAGAGTGTATGAGATACCGTTTACAGGCCTAGTGTACCATAAGATTTCCTCTGTTCATGCTAGGTAACACGGAGTTGTGATAATTGTGTCTTGAATGTACTGCCATCTGTAGCTACTTGCAATTTTGTCATATAGTGTCTGTAGTGCTTCTGAGGTAGCGTCTATGGTCCCCTTTGAATTAGAATGTATTTTGTCATGATCATTGATTAGATGAAAAGATGGACACCTAGCCCTCCTCTGCCATTTCCTCGTCGACATCTTCACCAAACATATCCTCCACTGTCCCACCCTCAACCCCATCTCCGCCAATATCTTCAGGCTCGGGACCCTCAATACCTTCCATAGCATCACCCCCTTGATCCTCTTCCTCGTCGTCTTCTTCATCCCATACATCCTTCAGTCCCCAGCTTGTGCCACTCAGTACGAACCGTTCGCTTGGTAGTCGCACACCCCATTCGCTGGGCACAATTTTAGGCAGTGCCACCTTGTTGCGTTCGCGCGCAAGTTCTTGCATGTAGTCCTTGCTAATTCCCCCGCCTGCGTTTCCTCCGCGGAACTGGTAGCTGAGTCGCGCAGCAATGGCGAGCTTAACGGCATTGGCCGTGACTGCAGCGTCGCCTGCAGGTGCTGAGATTGCTCCAGCGTTTGCTGATGGCTTAGAGCCGGCCTGTGTGACATATGGGTCGCCGGAAAGGTGTAGCGCATCGCTGAGAACAGATGAGGTGTGACGGTAGGCGAAGTCGAGAAGGAGGAGGGGAACGCGTGGCTCGTAAGCTGTGACGCCTTGCGATGTGAGCAGTAGTTCGATAAGCCTTGAGTCGCGCGGTCGAGGGGCGGTTGTTGATTGCGCTGGAGGAGGTGCGTTCTGTGAGGCCGCAGCAGCGGGTTGGCTAGAAGAGGCCGCCGTGGTCTGTGTGCTTGGTAATGGTTGCGAAGTGCCTGCCGATGAGGCGGGAACCCCGTTCGTTTGTGGTTGACTTGATGACATCTTAATCGATGCTGCAATGCTTCGTAATAGGTATCCTGTATGCGACTGTTCGTGAAAGCCTTCAAGTGATATCACGCGAAGCGCTCGAGTTCGTGTTTGGCAAGTCTGAAAGACGTCCGGACTATGAATGAGTGAAGTTGACGAGATGCAGTTGACGTATGTAAATGAGAGTGCTTTTATAGTTGCGGAAAATGCAGCACAAGTTGACGTGCCAAGTCGAAAGCTTATTGATCCTCGAATTATTTCCTTTGCGACGGTGAAGTCGCATGCCGCGTGCTTTGACCGGAGCTTGCGATAATCCGAGACGTGATCTGGTTGCGATAAGTGCACAGACCACACCTTAAATTTGATGGGCTCATGGCGACGAAAGAACTTTGCTACCTAAAGAACAAAATCATGAGAGTGACAGAATCAGAATGAGTTAGTCTTAGAGGCCATTATGTAATAAGAAGTGAAAACTGCAGGAATTCTTCTTTTTTTCATCATTATCATATGTCTAATACCTACCTAAGGTAGGTACTACCTTAGTAGCCACTGGCGGAAGTCGGATTTCAAGCAAGGAAAGAACGATGGAGGGGCAATGAGTAAAGAAAGCCCCACCATTTGTCGCCGATGCAGGAGGACTCATAGTCATCACTTCAACTTTTTCCACGGGTGATCGATCTTCACTCATTCACGACTCGGTTTAACAACATATATGCTAAGCTTTCGACTATAATCGATACCAATTGAATTCATCTGGTTCGTTGCCAAGATGGAGACAACTCTACCACTGCCATTCTTGGTGAGCATTGGCAGCCCGGATGGCCAGGCTACCAATGATGGCCTCACTCGTCAAGAGATTGCCCTTCTGGGAGCTCCTTTCTATGAGACAGCTTCTGAGGATTGGGGTCGCCCCAGTACCGGAACCAATGTTCACATGGATGCCACGAGTTTAAGTGACCCAGACGATGTGGTTGCGTTGCTCGATGGCGGGGTTCGAACGGTTTTTGTTGCTTCAGAGTCCTACTCAGAGTATACAGAATATGGCGCAAGAGTCATTCCCACTACTTCTTCCCTTGACATTTCCACAGCTTCCGAAAATGGTCTGTTGGTAAAGGATTTCGACATTGCATCTAGCGGCGTCGACAAATTTGTTGAGGAAGCATGTGCCAAGAAGATCAAGAGCCTTTACATTAAGCCAACTCCCAAGACCGATATCGAAAAGTTCATCGAAATTTCCAAGAAGGCCAATGCCATCCCTATCATTCCGTCCACAGGGTTGACGACCGACAAGAACGATTCGAGTCGAATATTGTTATCTAAGATTATTGCATCATTCTGGAAATCCGATCGACCTGACGGCCTGATTCCTACTGTGGTTACCGATGATGCCGGGATCGCGTTGGGTCTCGCCTATACCAGTGAGGAGAGTATTCTGGAGGCTCTTAAAACACAGACCGGAGTTTACCAGAGTCGCAAACGTGGTCTCTGGGTGAAGGGACTTACTTCTGGGGACACTCAGGAACTGTTGCGAATTGGTCTCGACTGTGACAACGACACTCTCAAATTCGTGGTCAATCAGAAGGGCCGTTTCTGCCACCTTCAGCAGTTTGGTTGCTTTGGAGACCTCAACGGCATTTCAGCACTTGAACAGACACTCAAGTCTCGCAAGGAGTTTGCGCCCGAAGGTTCTTACACGGCCCGCTTATTCTCCGATGAGAAGCTTCTGCGAGCAAAGATCATGGAGGAGGCAGAGGAGCTCTGCGATGGCAAGACTAAAGAGAACATCGCTTTCGAAGCTGCTGATTTGATCTACTTTGCTTTAACTAAGGCTGTTGGCGCAGGTGTTAGCCTCGCAGACATTGAGGCCAACCTGGACGCCAAGAGCTTGAAGGTCAAGCGAAGAACAGGCAATGCCAAGGGCAAGTGGGCGGAGAAGGAGGGTATCAAGACCGATGCAGCCCCTGTGAAGCCCTCACAGCCAGAAGTTGAGAAGTCAGCTGATGGACGTATTGCTATGGAGCGAGTTGATGCCTCAAAGATCTCCGAAGCCGATCTCGTAGAGAAGCTCAAGAGACCTTCTCAGAAATCCCCTGACGCAATCTTGAAGATCATACAGCCTATCATCGAGGACGTACGAACTGGTGGCGACAAGGCTGTTCTGTCTTACACCCACAAGTTTGAGAGGGCCACTTCATTGACATCGCCTGTGCTGAAGGCTCCCTTCCCCAAGGAGCTTATGGATATCTCGCCTGAGACTATTGAAGCTATTGACGTCTCTTTTGAGAATATCCGAAAGTTCCACTCTGCACAGCAGGAGGAGAAGTCCCTCCAGGTTGAGACTATGCCTGGCATTGTCTGTAGCCGCTTCTCGAGACCCATTGAGAGAGTCGGTCTTTACATCCCTGGTGGAACTGCTGTTCTTCCCAGCACTGCTCTGATGCTTGGAGTTCCAGCTATGGTGGCTGGTTGCCAGAAAATTGTATTTGCCTCACCTCCCAGATCTGATGGTCGCATTACCCCTGAAATTGTCTACGTTGCTCACAAGGTCGGTGCTGAGAGCATTGTACTGGCTGGTGGTGCTCAAGCTGTTGCCGCTTTGGCTTATGGTACAGAGAGTGTCACCAAGGTTGACAAGATTCTTGGACCTGGTAACCAATTTGTGACTGCGGCTAAGATGCACGTCAGCAACGATACCAATGCTGGCTGCGGTATTGACATGCCAGCTGGACCCTCTGAGGTTCTTGTTGTTGCTGACAAGGATGCCAACCCTGCTTTTGTTGCCTCCGATCTTCTTTCTCAAGCCGAGCACGGTGTCGATAGTCAGGTCATTCTGCTTGCTGTTGGCCTTAGTGAGCAGGAGCTCCAGGCTATTGAGGACGAAGTTCACAAACAAGCCCTTGCTCTTCCTCGTGTCGATATCGTCCGAGGATCTATCGCTCACTCCGTCACTGTCCAGGTCAAGGACATCAAAGAGGCCATGCGCATCAGCAACGAGTATGCCCCTGAACACCTCATCCTTCAAATCAAGGATGCCGAGAAAGCTGTTGATCAAGTCATGAACGCTGGCAGTGTGTTTATTGGTCACTGGACCCCTGAGAGTGTTGGCGACTACTCTGCTGGCGTCAACCACTCTTTGCGTAAGTTTTCTCATTAGTTTTTGGTATTCGATTGATGCTAACGACTTTCACAGCTACTTATGGTTTCGCCAAGCAGTACTCTGGTGTCAACTTGGGCTCGTTCCAGAAGCATATTACCAGCTCCAACCTTACTGCTGAAGGTCTCAAGAATGTTGGCACCGCCGTCATGCAACTGGCTAAGGTCGAGGAGCTTGAGGCTCATAGAAGGGCTGTGGAGATCCGACTTAACTACTTGAAGCAACAGCAGTAGAAAGGGACATACCACAAGAATGGGGAAAAAGGCGTATGTAGACAACAGATGGATTTTCTTTAGGATAGGGGCGCGGGCTTGGGGATAGATGTTGTTTCAATATGCACACAGACCACGGTGCTCAAGAATAAAATGTAGCTTGCTCAAGTAGTATCTTTTAGCCTGTCAAACATCAAAAGCTTTTGTCTGTCAGAATGCCATGATGCAATCACTACAAGTACAATGAAATGCTCAACGCCGCGCTATGCCTCAGTATGTATACCCCTTTTCTCCCTCTAGTCGCCTCCATCCATCTCCTCTTATCCATTCAGATGAAACTCTCGCCATCAATGTCTATGAAAAACAACCCATAAGCACTCTAAAAAGAAACGCCTTTGAATTCGTTACACCTTACTGCCTGTTGGGAGCAGCAGCAACAGCCTCGGTGGCCTGTTCGTGATACTTAGCTTTCCTTCACTTCACTTCATTTCTCAATGGTGAGATGACCAACCCCTGTTATGTGTTGGGCGAGAACGTCCTCCTTGAGCTGACCTTGACGCCTTTGTCCAACGGGAGTAGCGTCAGGGGCTCCTTCACCCTTGTGTTCGTCTTGATGGCCCTCCTCGCCATCTTCGTAAATCTCTTCTTCATCTTCCTCGTCGTAAGCCTCTTTCAAGTCGCGTGTCATAGACGCCTTGAGACGCTCTTCGTCGACGCTATCGCCCAAAACACTTGCGGCTTCGGCAAACTCATCCATAGATGCTCGAGAGATGTAGCTATCGGCAAGTCCCTCGCCGATCTCGTCCACATCTTCATCTATTTCGCCATCCTCGTCGTCATATTCCTCTTCATCATCACCATACTCGCTTGTAGGTCCTCCTGGGCCGTCCTCCTCCTCGTCATCATCACTCTCGCTTGCTGAAAAGTCAGCCATGGCAAGAGGATCGTCTCTCCAATACGTGAAATCCGTGTACTCCTCGCCGCCACCTTTTACCAGTGTGCTCACGGGGGGGAAGTAATGGTCAACGACTTCGTTGATATTCACGTAGCTCATTTTGAGCTTGTTGAGTGTCAGCAGATCAAGGGACACTTCAGAGTTGGAATTGATGGTGAAAATGCGGTTTCGAGGGACATCGACGGTCCGGTAAGAGATTTGATCAGTCAAACGATTTCCGTAGCCGGCATAAAAGGGATGACGATCTGGGCCGTATAAGTTTCGAATGTCTCGAAGAGTGGCCATCTTGAAGATGTGGGGTTTGCGAAGGTAAACCTCTCGCCTCAGTGCAGCCATGGTTCTATCAGGCGACAGGATTGTAGGACCGGGCGGCATCCTGTAGCCATCCTGGACGATACCCGCCAGGTAGGCTCTTGTCGTGTCCGATTGTCCAACGGATCGACTGGTAAGGTACATGATATTATAACCATTGGCGGAAATATCGCTGTACAATTTGGCTACACCTGAGTGAGTCCAGTCGCGGCCAATCATGTTCAACACGTGGCCGAGGGCATCCGACTTGGTAATAGTACCGTCAATGTCTGAGATGACAACAGGCGTCTCATGCCTCCAGAGGTACATGTTTGCTTTGCAGGTAGCTCGGTTGACAGTGAAAGCCATCGAGTTCGCGCCTGGCTGAAGCTTCAGATCCTTG